AGCGCCCCTCGCCACGAACTTCCCCAAGAATTTCCCCAAAACCCCAAGACGCGCGATTCCGCAAGAATTTCCCCAAGAATTTCCCCAAAACCCCGAGACGTGCCATTCCCCAAGAATTTCCCCCCAACCCCGAGACGCGCCATTCCCCAAGAATTTCCCCAAAACCCCAAGACGCGCCATTCCCCAAGAATTTCCCCAAAACCCCAAGACACGCCATTCCCCAAGAATCTCCCCCCAACCCCGAGACGCGCCATTCCCCAAGAACGCGAAACCCGGCGAGCGCGCCGGCGTTTCGGCGGCCCAACCCTACGCTGGTTTTGAGGGCGAGCTCCTCCTGCGGTCGAAGAGCTGGCAGCCGGTAAATCCCAAATCCTGGCCTCGCTCCGCCGCCCGCCGCCTCGAACGCTCTGCCCGGTAGAACGAGAGCCTTTGCTTCCCTTAACTTGCTGGATTTTTCTGCATTTCCTACAGAAAGATTGTAAGTAAGATAGATGAAGACAAAGACGGGTTTGTAACTGTGGAAGAGCTGAAAGACTGGATTAAGTTTGCACAAAAGCGCTGGATATACGAGGATGTAGAGCGGCAGTGGAAAGGGCACGACCTCAATGAGGACGGCCTCATTTCTTGGGAGGAATATAAAAATGCCACCTACGGCTACATCTTAGGTAGGTCTCTACTCTCGGGACGCAACCTGTGCGGAGCCGGCGCTTGAAACTTGCTGTTTTGTTTTTGTAGAGTGATTGTAGATAAGATAGACACGGATAAGGATGGGTTTGTGACGGAGGGGGAGCTGAAAGCCTGGATTAAGAAGGCCCAGAAGAAATACGTGTATGACAGTGTCGAACGCCAGTGGCAGGAGTTTGACATGAACCAAGATGGATTTATCTCCTGGGATGAGTACAGGAACGTGACATATGGCACTTACCTCGGTAAGGGGCAAGGTGTCCCATCTGGTGGTGGTCTCGCATCAATAAAGCGGAAGCGCCGTGGAGCAGAGCCGGGAGCTCTCGACTCATCCCCGACGCCTGCAAAAATTTAAAAAAAAAAAAAAAAAGTCCGGAATAATTAATGCCGTTCCCGACGGCGAAAGGCGATCTAAGGAGGGGAAATAAAAAAAACCAAAAAAAAAACGCGGGGAAAACCCGACGGCGAAAGCTCGCGATCGACGCCGCGGCTTTGTCCCTCCGCTTTATTGATGCGCTGCAATCGTGAAAACGAGCTGGGCGCGCAAGGCGCCAGCGATGGCGTGATTAAAGGCACGCGGGGCGACGCGGGCGGGCGGTGGGGGGTTTTTTTTTTTTTGCCTTCTAGCTTCGGAATTTCAAGCTACCGGTGGCATTTAATACCCGCAGAAAGAAGCTGAGCCCTGGCTGTAGAAGCCGCGTTTTTCCGGGCATCCGCACCCTTCCTAAATCCGCGAAGATCGTTAGCGAAAAGTCTTTTTAATCGCTTTCCGGTGGCCTGGGTGCGCGTCTGGGCTCCTCCGCTGGCCCCGGCGGTAGCTTTAGAAGCCAGGGCTT